TATATATATATATATGGGCTTTTAACAGCTTCACTTAGCCCGAGACGGCAATGCTAAAAACCGATGATATTTTTTCAATTTCACCTCTCTCTTTTTGGCTGTCTTGTCGAACTCGACCTTCACGAGGTGTAATATTACCCAATTCTTTTGAGAAGGCGCTGGACGGCTACTGAGTTTCAGTGTTTCTCTACAAGGGATTCATTGAACGACTCTGGTAGGCCTAAATCCTCAAACCTTTAAGCCGAGTGAAACGAAGAATGCAGAACGAATCTGAAATATCTACACGTACCACATTAGCTACGAGTTCTTCCCTCTTTCCAGTGTAGTTATGGAAAACTTTTCTCAATTCAGCTTCCGCGTCACGGCAATTAGATTTTTCACTTTTTGTGATACCCAACCATTTCTAGAAATGATAATGTGAACACGAGAAGATCGTTAGCGAGTTGCACCTATTCGAAAATCCCCCATGAAGATGGTAACTTCTATTGCTTCGTTGCCATCGCAGCGATAAGAGCTCACAGCTCCTGATATATGCTCGCAAGTTTTCGTCTTACTTAACGGGTGGACAAGATAAAAGAACGCACTCAATACGCCAAATTAGGCGATACGATCACACCAGCCATTATGTACACCAATTTTTATATTGAAAAAGTACCCATTCCAGACAGACATTACACAGAATTTCTTATTCTCCCGCTATGTCATTTAGCTTGGATACTACAAGCGCAATACACCGATGATCTGTTTAGCTCATTGCTAGCTTCGTGGTCATTTTAACCTCTTTTTGTCCGGGGGAAAGTTTATCTGTCTTGGCCATTTTAAGTGCAGAACTCACAACATCTGCAGCAACTCGGTGCGTACGATTCGAAATTACACCAGTTTCTGAATGAGAAATTAATGATGACCTGCTATCGCCGTGGACTCATGGCTGGAATGTGAGCAAATACCTCGTTTGATCCTCTGGTCGCCAGCTTTCTCATTTTTAATTACCATCGGTAGACATGGGCTTCCTAACTGTTCGGAATCAGATGAATCGTTTTCCATTCTCACAGAGACTTCAGTTGAATACGATATGGTCGTCGGATTTGCGACAAGCGTAACCAGGTGCAATGGTAATGCTTTGCTTCTCGCAAAGGAAAAGGTTTGACAAACGAGTCAATCAGTCTGCATTAGTCAAGCGCTGGGATAATGGATTTGTACTCTTCGCTCAGAAGCAAATTCGAGAGACTTTAAAGTGTCAAAAGCGATGAGATGATTCTTCTGATACATTTCATGATTTAGGCTACTTACAATGACAGCTTTTTTTGTCATCGTATGTCACGTCACAAAAAAAAAGTATACTCACTTTTTTCTACACTTTTCAGGCTTAATGCAATATTAGAAGGTCGATCGACCTTTTGTGCTCTCTATTCAAATGAATGCGAGAATGCGCATTGTCACTGCATCAGGCGCCGATATTATGGATGGTACTCGAATAATTTTCTACGATTGATTAATCACCCGTGATTATCAACCCTAAGCACTATAGTGAATGGCGATCCACTATTTTTTTCTGAAGTTTATTCAGTCTAATCATCACAGTCAATCCAAAGACGATAGCTCAGAGTCACAGGCTTTGATTAATATGCAGATTTCAGAAAGCTTGACTGCGTGGTAGTGGATGTACTCGTCCTTTTATTCTCGATATATAGAATTTTGCCAGTATGAGTAAGCTGACAATTGTTTCTGGGCCCTGTCAAATGCTTCGATGATCATCTGCCGCTTGTAACAGTAAATGGCGTCTTGCCTTTCATATTTTCTGCCGCATAACCTTAAGAGCCGCCACAAAACGGTCATTGACCTCTCACGTCCGTGCGTGTTTCGTTGTTAAAAAAAAATAACTTTTTTCGACTTTCCTTTTTCCCATAAAATTTTCAAATTTGTATGTAGAAGATATAGGACTCTTGCTTGAATCGGACTTATCATTATATTACTTACTTCGCTTCACTCCAGTTAATATAATTATATAAACCCTTTATCGCGGATCTCAAATATATATTCGTAAAAATTCCACGACTCAAATGTTCGAAAGAGTCCGCAAAGGAGATGGGACAGGTGGACCGTCAGTCTCAAGTAGCACAATGCGTATGGTCTTACTATCGAATTAGGTTAAAATGTGTGATCTCATAGCACTTGACGTTTTTTCAGCTTCGGTAACAGCACAAAAATATCTGACGTGGAGTGGAGATACATGGATTTGGGACGTATAATAAAATTGCTGCCCGCAATGTGGGGGTGCTTGGCTATAAATCAATACGATGATATTGAGTTACGCCGGAAATGATTATCAAATGCAACGAGGAGCATCATCAAGAGGAGCCCCAAAGACACGATGTTTTTCAAGTCGACTACTATTTTACTCATATTCGGTTGTGTAACTTGGAGAGCTTGCGTGACACGCACGCAAACTGAGATCTTTCTATATTCTGAGACAGTAATTCATAACATGATAGCGTATTTTTTTACGGGTACACTTGCCGCACGTTTAAATTGATTCGCTGCGAGGACAAGTAATTCAAAATAGCTTCATACTCTTTGGCGTCATCATCACTTTGCACAAGCGCCTTAAGGGTATTAGATTCCACCTCAAATGGGGAGGGTAATACACGAGCTACTCCGTGGTAACATGTACGCGATGCACCACCCATTATCACGACGTCGCCACTTCGAAGCAATATCTCAAGTGGTACCTCATCTTTCGTGTGCCCACCCAGGAGAAACAAGCACGGACTGCCGAGTGACAGCGACACCACAGGATGATCCATAGTGTATTCGACATCGTCGCGATGGCCACCCATAGATGACTTCATTTTATAGTAGTTGACAATAATAGCCTCAACTGCAAGCGTCATACCACACGCAGCAGCACATCTTACACCAAGCTGCTGCAACAGCTCAGGGACGGGTGAATACCTGTACCTATGATACTTTCTAGCGGTCCAATCGTAGTGATATCCCAATGCCGCCCAACACAGTTTTGCGAGAAGTGGGGACTCGGCTGGATTTTGTGGATGTGATCTACGTGCTTTTTGCCAGATGTTTGATACTTGCTGATTTTGCTGATGCATGTTGGTCAGGTGTGGCACTTCCGGAAATTCCGTCCTATCAAGAAAAGATGCGATGAAATTTCAATTGTCAGTGCTTCACACGTGATCAGTTTAGCTTTAACACTGCAATTTACAAGCAAGCATGGGCGAATTGCAGCTGTGTTTTTTCATCAAGGGCGCTTGGAATTACGTGAAAACCATGACGCGTGGTGGCAAAATTATCGAAAGCCAACACAGGCCTCTCTTCGTTCTCTAGGGTCCATCTCCAGCTTCCCACGCGGCGAACTTTCATCTTCTGCTCTTTGCTAAGATTGCGCGGATCGATTATTGTAGGACTGTGCAGCAGTTCTTCAGCCATAAATCCCTTCCATCGCTTTTCGCATGCCTTATAGGTCGCGGTCATTGTCTCTACGTACGTTGGCAAAAAAATAGTTGTAAGTAATCACATCTACATTTTTTGCCGTCTTCACGCTACGGAACCTGTTAAGAATAATAAATGCATTAAAACAATCAAAAGCAAATATATCTGGTATACAATTTGACATTTCTTTTGAGAGGAAAATTGAATGGCGATTATGTAACGACCTGAACCTTACTTAGCCAAGATGGTTTTGTAGCAATTTGGAGTTAGCAATACCACTTTATCATTCCGCAATTACAACAGCTCTGGATTTTGCCCAAAAACTTTGCAATTAGAAGCATTCAATACTAGAAATTGGATAGTCGTCGTGGTTATTTTCAAAGTATTGGCAAACATACGCAGCCGCAACGACTTAAAGTGGCGCTCGCAATTTATCTCAAGGAGGCGCTCAATATCGTGCATCAACATGTAAATCGAGCTCTAGCTGCTTCATTTGGCGCGCATTAAGCGCCTAAGGCGTATCAGTGGCTACATTATCGTCGCACACATCTCATGAAGACGTGATTTTTTCCGAGTAGGAAGCTCCGCCCGTATTGATGCCCAAGCTTACTCCAATGTCTTACTTTCGTCTAAGTCTCTCAAGGCCTTTCTTGTCAAACTGTCTACATTCCTGATCGAGACTTCTGACAGCAGACATCAATCATACCAACAAATGTTGCTGTACTTAGCCTCGTTAGATTCGGACCTGTTGTGATGATCTCATCACTATATGGCTGATGTTGTTAAACCCAATGGTGATATATAATCAGCTTAGGATACTGATATTCGTTATTATCGCAAATTTATCCAATTAACTTAACGGTTCTTTTCCAGAAGTGCTGAAATTGGCAAATGTGACATTTGAGCTTTTTAACGTCATCTAACCCTTTGTCGCTAGTTAAAATGCGGCTCAGAACGTAATTGATACAAATTCCGCATCTACATTGTGCGAGGCACAAGACTCATCGCGTCACTAGGTGGCGTTTATTTCCTTTGGCTTCAATTGGGACAAATCCGACCTCAGTTGCTCGATCATTAGGATAGAAGGTTCGACGCAACTGCTTCAACGAGATGGTTCACCCTTAACCATTTTAGAGTAAGCAGTACTGCATTTGATTGATGCGTTTACGTGTCGAAATATAATTCTTAGCCTTGAAAACCCACCACACATTAATTCTTAAATTATTTTATGGCACTAAGACAGGGATTATTCAGCTAAAACCGTTTGTTTCACTACTACAATCGACAATGCGAATGCGGGTCGCTAAGTGCCTTGCTTGAGAAAGCTTATCAGAATAAAAGGTACCGCACCAAATCTCCGTTGTAGTAAATGAAATCTCTGTATTCATTTTTCAAGTCTTTTAATTAAAAATTTTTTTGACTGAAGCCAATTCGCGGAATATAGCAAACAACGCAACTCGGTCGGCCAATGAGGGATTCAAACTCACGCCCTTTCGGACCAGTGCTATATACCGACGCCTTAGACCGCCTCGGCACTATTGTTCTCAAAAAAGTTAACAGACACAACGAATTGTAAAATCCACCGCCAAGACAATGAAACCATCTTCAGCGTTTTGCTTTTGGTAGGAGACCACGAGACCAATTTTCATTCGTTTGTCTAGAGTGAAGTTTGAGAGTCAAGGCTTGCTCTGTGCTAAGTATACGTCAATCCAATTGTATATACTGTAGCGCCAGCCATTTTAATAAACAGCCGATTAAATCAATGCGATCAGGTATATTTGAGCAGCGCAATTTATGACAGGTAAAATTTGTGATACGGTTTAAAAAAATTCTATTCGCAACCTTGCAAGGCGATCGTGTACATTTGTGGTTCTTATCATCCCTTTGCGGAAGGTGGGAGCTAACTGACCATAAGTAGGCATTGAACATTTCTATTGCCTGTATGGTGTCAGACGCTCGTCCGGGGGAATATCCATCTTCGTCGAGAGTCTTAAGACAAGCGTAGCTAATACCGACATTTTATTCACCCATCCTATCTCATAAGTGGTGATTGTTGCACCGAAGGCTGAGTCAAACTATTCATCCGCGGGTTCCATAGACATTGGAAGCTTTAATTTAAATAGCGCGCCATAGGCAGTTGAGCTGAAGAATCCGTTAGATTTATGAGGTACCAAGAAACTCAGCGGTACTCACAGAATTTTCATTTGCGGCGGTACAATAATCTACCCCGAGGTGCTCCCTTCTCTTTCGGATGAAATATATAAGGGAAGGGTTCCCACGCATACGCGGACAATGAAGCTCTCAGTGAATTCAGTCGACTGACAAAATTATATGGCTCAAAGGTTCCTCACGAATGCCTTTTTAACGGGTTTTAGCCCATAAGAGAGCGATTCTAGAGCTGAGAAAGCTGATTTCACGGACCAGGGTAGTTGATTCTTGATATCTACTAGGAATTTGCATAAAACGGCCTGATAAATTCAGACGCATCCCACAACCACGTAAGATGAGTAATGTTGAGAACAGTGGACATAATTCTAAGTATAAAAATATAGTTACGAATATATGCCCATGCTTCTTCCGAAGCAAACTCTGGTGGATTGCTGATAAAACGTTAACTTTAAAAAGAA